ACACCTCTACTTTTATTGACTTTGCAAACTCTGTCCTATAAGGCAGGAAGCAGCAACTGCCAGAAGAGACACAGAAAGAAAACATGTGGTTTCTCCTGCCCCTCTTTCTTCGGCATCTACCTGCTACGGCATCTTAACAAGATCCCAAAGGTGCTCAGCAATCTTATCTCAGAACAGAGAGATCCTTCCCCTTCGTTTTCGCTTCTTAGACAAAGGGTATCCAGTTTATATACTGAATTCTTTCTTGGGGCCCAGTATAATTTCCAACTCTCAGCGCAGCACTTTTGCCTTTTGGCTTTTCCACTATCTCCAACAGACAACTGGGTCCCCTCTCGCCCACAGCAGTCACCTCACAGGTTAGGTGTCATCTTTCTCTCAGGGTCCTGGACCCTTAAAATCCTCTCACCCACTCCCTCTTTCCTGGACCTACTCTAAAGACTGCATTCTCCCTTCTCCCTCACACTAGCCTCTATCTGCTCCCTCCATCTGCTCTGCTGCCAGGTGCTTTGGCTCGAATGTTAAGTCTCCCTTCCAATTTCTATGTTAAGACCCAACTCTCAGTGTGATAGTGTTAGAATTGGGGGCCTTTGGAAGGTGACCAGGGAAGGGGGAAATTCACGGCCCTTATGATGACATTCATGTCACTGTGACCTCTTTCTAACAGCAAGAGGCCATAACAAAAAGCTGGCTACCTAAGCGACCCTCATCACATAAGAAATCTGTAAGCCCCTTGATTTTTACCTTTCTGGCCTCAAAAACTGTGGGAGAAAAAAAAATCTCTCTGTGTTGTTTATGAACTACCTGGTTTGTGGTATTTTTGACACAGTAGCCTAGATAGACTAGCAGGTGAATCATAAAGCAGAGTGCATCAATTACGCCTTCCCATGCTCAGCATCTCTGCCTGCATCACACAATTTGCATTCATCCCCATCCCTACTCTGAATTAACCAGTCACATTGCACACAGGTCTTTAATCCCCTACTAGACACTAAAGCTCCATGAAGAGAGGACCCCCATACATACTGGATAACTCATCTCAAACAGTACCTAGCACGGGGCTTTCGCAGCTTATGAATATTTATTTACTGAAGGAAACAAAGTGAAGAGCTCTTCTACGCCCATTCTCTCTTCCTCTGGACACATATTAGGCATGTCCACTTCCACACTCCATCAAAATCTCAATCAACCATTAGAAGAAGGTGCATGGACGTCTAAGAAGTTGAAATTAAAGACAAAGCAGGGTGGGGGTTACCTCTCAAGAAAGTAAAGAGAATACAATTAGGGGAAATACCGCAATGTTTTATTTCTATACTGAAGTAGGGAATAGACACATGCCATTATTCCTTGGATCTCCTGTCTTCTCTACATTGTTTTGGATGTATGTAAAAGTGATTTTTTAAAAAAGGAACTAATAAAATATTACCATACATGTTCATCTAAGATATACCCTCTGCCCAGCAGGAGAGCTTTGTGCTTAGTGAGGCTGCTGCTTCATGCATGTTGTTTTATTCTTGTTTTGTTTTAGTTTTCAAAACAAGATCTTCCTATTTAGCCCAGGCTGGCCTAAAACTCACTATGTAAACCAGACTGGCCTTAAATTTGTGGCTCACCTCCTTCCTCTGTACAGAGTGCTGAGATCACAGCTGCGTCCTAACCATGCCATCTAGTATGTGTGTTACTTTTCTTTGCCAACCAACCTGCTAGGGAAAACAGGTTTCATCATATTTTGAGATTGATCTTCACTGAGCAATGACTCAGTAGATTAAGAAGTTTCTCACCCCTCCCTATCCCAGCATGCTTTGCTAATAGTAAGGCAAACCTAACTGAAATATGGTTGCTCCTAATCCAAAGAAATAAAGTTACTTACTGCAATTTAGCCATCCTCTGTAAGGTAGAAAGTATTGCTAAGGGGGAAAGACACCGAGTTAATGTCAAAATGGTTATTTCTGGGGGCTGGAGAGATGGCTCAGAGGATAAGAGCACTACCTGTTCTTCCATAGGTCCTGAGTTCAATTCCCAGCAACCACATGGTGGCTCACAACCATCTGTAATGAGATCTGGTGCCCTCTCTGGCCTGAAGGAGGTATACATGTAGGCAGAACACTGCATACATAATAAATAAACAAATAAATAAATAAACAGTTATTTCCATAAAGGACCTGTTCTATGTGGGAGCTAGATTGAGAGGTCCACTTGACAGAGGGAAAGGGGGGTGGGAGGGGAGTTGCTTTGCTTTCTCCATCCATTAAGTCTGTTTTTACCAGAGTAGAAAATTCATATTTCAAAATAACAAAAAATATAGTATGCCTTTTTACAGATGTTTACAGGTTTGTGTGAAGTTTAATAAACAAATTCTTTGCTTAGTGAAAAAAAAGTTCATCTGGTTGAACCTAATTCCCAGATAGCTAAGTTAATAAACAAATTGCATATGCTCACTGGCCTTATTTTGATTTAAATTCCTAACAAAGAACCTAGCAAGAATTTCCGGTGGCTTCTAAAACAAAATGAGGCAGCCTGGGAGAAAGTAGCTCAAACCTTCAGAAACCAAGTCTACATGAAATTTTCAAGGCATCTCCAGGAGGAGCTGTGTTCAAGACTCTCAGTCTACTGAATACTTACTCATGTTACTACTCAGTGTCATGTTACTACTGATGGCAGCTGGAGGATCACAGAGACATATATAAGAGTGCCCAAAGGAAGCTCGGGAGGCAAGAAGGTCAAACTTCCAAGCAGAACTTGAGTGACGATACTGCCCATCATGCTTGTGTACATGCTTGGCTTACTACTCAAAACTTAGTTGGCTCTACTTAGCATTAGCCTCTACTTTAGGTTCAATGATCTAGATGTAACATTTACACTTTGGTATGGCAGTCTTAACTCCACTGACTTAAAAGATTACAAGACATACCACCCTTTGGTAATTGTCAAATTCAATTGTGTTATTCAATTGCCTCATCATCGCCAACAGAGCAACTGCTGGAGCATGTGCCACACTGTGGTTATGACCGTGTACCCAGAAACGTGCACTATACCCCTATTTCACACCTACAGAAGAAGGGAACACATCTTGTTTCTTAAAATTAGCCAACTGTAATGTCTCTTGTCCTTCATTTGCAACCTTTGGTCCTAATGTGGTCTGATGATGCTGAATCAGAGATCTGGGATCTTAGGAATGAGCACACGTGCAAATTTTGGCCACTCTAGCAAGACCAATGGCTACTCTTGAGTTTAGCTTGGCCCATAGTCAAGTATACACATCTCTTGCCAGGAAAGGTGTCCAAATCTGCCTCAAGCCAGAGGAGAAAAGTTGACAATGAGAATTATTTGTCACCAGTTTTCTTAGTTGAATAAAAATTCTAAATCTGTCCTCTCATTTCACCTGAGAAGAACCCAGCACAAAGCCCCATGAATCCCCCTGATGGCACCCATGTCTGATGCAGTCAAAACTCCACTGACTTTAACCAGCCAGGGCTACAAAGCCTTTGGTCACTGGAGATCAAATGTGGGGTGGCAGAACTAGTCTGAATTGAGCAGAGAGCTGGCAAATTTGATTGCTAGTACTCACCTTCAAAAGAATATTCTTGTTTTCCTTTCAACACAGAAGAAAAATGAGGGGGGAAAGCACTTCGTGCATATATCACAGCCAAGAAAAGCCTCTAAGAGGTCCAAAGCAGCCCCACTCCCCACCCCCAAATGGCAGTGTTGGTGACAAGTCCTAAGCAGAAGAACTCTGGCCAGGTAAACAGAATGACTTTTACTAGGTACAGAGAGGCCTAAAGGAGGGTTTCTGCTTACCAAGGTCTTCAAGGGCATCTAACCCCCGATCAATTGTACAGCCCCCCACCCTGCTACTCCCATATAAAATCTGCTTGCTTTTCTGCCATTTTTCTTTTCTCTCTGTGCCTTCTCCTGGAAGATACAGCCTTGGCAGTTTGATCCACAATAAACCCTTCTTTCTACCCAGGAAGCAGTCAGTTCAGTGGCTTCACTGCACCCTCATTTACAGCCTCTTGTATCAGCTGACAGCTACCTAAGCTAACTGGTCACTACCATGGATTCTCCAACACACACACACACACACACACACACACACACACACCCCTACTAACTTGACCCATTGTCACAAATCTTCAACGTGAGGCCCTGCTATTACACAAATGTATTCCACAGTGGAAATCTGGCTAAGGATCCTTTCCATCTTTCAGTACTAGAAGCTACGAGAAGCTTCTGTTCACAGAGGACAAAAGCCAGTTTCTACCACTGAGTCTTGCTTTCCTGTTTCTGTGGGGATGCGGACTATATGTTCAGAACACACTGTGGAAGGATGAAATCCCAGAAAAAGAACAGACAAGTAAATTCCTGAGTTGATTAAAAAATAAGCAAACCATTAATACATCTATGAAATGCTACAAGCATATAATGTATGCTATACTTACATTTTGATTTAGAAGTGGTTGTAGGGGGGTAATACAAATGACTTTATGGCAAAAGGAAAAAAAAAACTGGCTTTAATCAGTTTGGATTTTTTTCTTTTTTGTCTCTAATCTAATCCCCCCTAAAGAAAATCACAGATGTTTAACTTTTTAAGCTTCCCAAAGTCACCACATGCTCTTAAGCTGTCTAGTGGAACTCTCAGATTCTCAGCCAGAGCCCGCTCTTGAATATTCTGAGGGGGTAATGTGTTTATATAAAAACCAAAGTCAACTGGCTGGCTTTTCATGTCTCCCAAACCCAGGAAGGTCAGAATTCAGAGGATACAAGACCCAACCCTTAAGCAATGCAAATACACCCAACTCAACTATTCCTGCCTCTTGTATACAATTTCAAGAATTCACATCAGCTAAACTAATCTCTGTCAACTGCCCAAGGGGAAAAACCCTCCCAGATACATTTAGTTCGGTGGAGCATTCTTGCTAGGAACTCTCAGGTTTCCTTCAGAAATGGAGAATGCCATTATGCAGTCTTAGGGAAGGAGAGAGATCATGGAAAACATGTCTTACCATTCTCATTGGGCTCTGAGGGCTTGGACCCTTCTCTGAACGGGACCATAACTGTATCTCCAGGCACCCTGGGGCTCTCCACATACTTGGGCTTCCTGACGGGACCTGCAGAGGGAAAGATCTGAGTATAGCTAATTTTTTCCAGATGCAAACAGAGTTTCAGGACAGTTTGTGTCTTTACCAGGACCCAAACACACCTAAAGGAAGTCTGGCCCTTCCTTCCCTCCCCTATACACAGACACACAGACACAGACACAGACACACACACACACAGACACACACAGAGAGAGAGAGAGAGAGAGAGA